AATATACCACAATATTCAATGTTGAATCTCCAAATATGCCCCAACATTTACTGTTGAATCTTTAAAGATGCCCCGTTGTTCCTTATTTCTTGCTTCAGCACTGATTCTAAACATGAGTTTTGTGTCTAAGAGCCACATGTCAAATACCAAGATCCATTCTAGAGAGATTGTCTTGTTTGAAAAGTGTTTTTCTTCTTCATTTATTTTCAAAAGTTCTGAAAATGTATTAGAAGAGTTTTGAAAAATGTTTAATCAAAAGTTTTGAAAATATTGCCCCTTTCTAGGTTTCACAATTTAGACCAATCATAAAACTAGAGTTCATTAGACATCAAAGAATTAATTACAATGTTAATCCTTCAATAAATTATAGCTATTTGACAAGTGTTAAGATCAAAGCTATCTTTGGGAAATAGTAAGGAAATGATAAAAAAGTCTCAGGTTATTTTGTTTGGTCAATGGTTTGGCCTTCTTATTTCTTTGATGTTAATTGATATGATGGGGTAGCTTGTATGCTCCTCTATTGGACGTGTTCGCCGGCTCCCTGCTCTTATGGACACGCATTGTGCAATGCCTTATTATGGAATTTGTGTGATTGCCTCAGCTGCACAATTTTTACATTCAAGTCGCCTTTTCAGGTTTTCAACTCGAATCCTCTTTTGGTTTCAAGATGTCATTTAGAATTTACGTCTTGAACCCCCTTTGTTATTTTTCTCTATCATGCATTAAAGGTTTTAGAAAACCTTTTGCAAATAAAAATTAATCCTGATGGGCAGAATGAAATATGAAGATAATCTCTTATGTTTAGAAATCCATGTATGATTAGAAGAGACTTTTTAAGGCACGTAATGTAGGCCATGGTTCATGGTTATGAAAGAAAAGGATAAATAGGCCCAAACAAGTGTTTCAAGGTATTGAACCAAGGATCAATTCATTCTGATGCTTTCAATCTCGTCTTGCTCAATTTGAATATGCTCGTATGTATCTCTCTCGATGCTCCATAAACTTCGTGTGAAGTGATTCTGGAATAATTGTGCTTGATCAATCTCATAATTTGAAGCTTGATGCGTCATTTGAGTCGATTATCATTTTTTTCTTCTTTTCTTTCGATTAGATCTTCGCACTTGACATTTGGTTCTCCTTTTGATATCTCCTCTGATTTTATGTCTTCACTCATGTGAGCAGATTTCTTCCATCTTGCCCCCCAGTGTGGGGGTGATCCTTGGTTAGGGTTGAATCAGAAGAAAGAAAAAATATTATAGGCTCAAAAGGGGACAACAAATGATATATATATATATATATATATATATATATATACATATATGGATAAATGAAACAAAGCCGTTCATCATCTCATACACAAAAGTCTTCGCATAAGAGGTATCCCCAGGGGGATAGATTTTCAGGATTAAGTTTTATTCACATGAAAAAAATGTAATTAATGCATGATAGAATTATTTCGAATTAATTCTCCTTTTTGCTTCTTGTTCCCAGCATGCCTCAATTGTACAAGCTCGTCTTCAGAAAATTGATGAGTGATGCCCCAAGTTGTGTCTTCTGGTAGGAAGGTTCATGTTCAAGTGAACATCTTGTACCTAATGCCTTAGGTTTTATTGGTAAAAAAAATGTTGAGTTTACGTCTAAAAGAACGATGATGTGACTTTATTGACTCAAAGGTTTCGGTATGACTCTTTATATCTCCATGAATTATTCTGGGTAAAAAAATTGAGGGATTTTTTTTGTATTGTTTTTTTAACAGGATAAGAAAGGTCTGATCTTGCCATATGTCAAAAATCTATAATTCTTGAAGAATTAAAAAGAATCCTTAATTCATTTAATATTCGAAGAACTAAAGATTAAAATTTGCTCAATTATTTCACCTTAGAAGGTAGCATAAATTCAATCATTTAAAGGATTAAGCAAACATGAAATATCAAAATACGTTCAAACAAAACAATGCTCTCAGTACAAATGGTGGATGTAATGCCCCCTTCTTCGATTATCCATACTCTTGAATCCATCAAGTTTTGAATCTTGCGCTTCAGTGCCTTACAGTTCTTAGAGGAATGTTTGGAGCTTCCTATGTGATAATTGTGCACGATATCAATATCGTAACCCTCGGGATATAGGGACTCTTTTCTCAGATCATCTTGGCAGGCTTGGCCATACAATCAGTTGATCAGGCTTCCACTGTACTGATTTCAGTTTTAATTGATAAAATCTTTCTTCCATGTAGTGTCACGTGATTAAGAACACTGCATCGAATCCTCCATGAAGATATTTATGTTTATGAAAATGCTTAAAAATGAAATGTAGATGCAAAAATGCATGACATGCTCGAGGCATTGATCCGAAAACATGCTTGTTATTATAAATAATCCTTATTAGGGACAAAAGTGTTTTATCTTTTAAGAGACAAAAATATCTTGACAGCTTCTGACATGTTGACTAGTCTTCTGCCTTCGTCTGTCACCGGTTGAATAACCTGTCAAACCGCTCCGGCTTCTCTGGATAAACCGTGCAAATGTTAACCTCTCCAGATTCTCTGGATGAATTGTGCAAATGTTGAGTTGCTTTTTTACTGGTCCAAGAAGTCTCAAATGACTGCATCTCTACATTTATCTTTTATTGAACCTGTTCCCATCGAATACGTCATTAGAGCCCTCAATTGATAGGAACTATGTGAAGTTCATTTGTCTATTTCTTGAATTCGTCAGCAATGGTCTCCAATTTCAGCTATCGTTTTGCCATTGTTATCTTTGAATGGACTCTCAAAATCAGTAACCTTCATCTTGCTCCTGCAAACTCTGCTAGTCAGTTCTTCAAATATAGGCTTTTATTGTGATTGATGTAAACCCGGTTCATTTTGAGTCCTTTATAATGCAGCAGAGTGATATACTCTTCAATTGTGGGCACAACGTCTTCTGGATCGAATGTGACACATAGTCGCCTTGTAGACTGTCCCCTGTATTTTCATCTCTTGTATTACAATCCCTTTATCTATTAATGCAAATTATTTACGTTTAACGAACACGTTTTTATGGATCAACACCTCTTTTAAATGATGTAAATGATAAACAATAAAATAGAACAATAAAAAAAAGGGAAAATGAAATGAGAAAAAAAAATTAGTGAGATAAGGATAATAAAAAAAATAATAATGAAAATAAAAAGTCCTACCCCACATGATATCTACCTCACATGCTTAGTATTCCTACTCGTACATGATCTCTATCCCGCAAGTTGATTTTGAACAAGTCCTAACCGCATAAATTTCTAGTTCACATGCTTTGAACATAAAATAAGGCAGGAAATGAACTCAAAATAGCCTAGGGTTTGAAATGAGGTTTTGGGGTGATTATAATTTTCTGTAGTCTCTCGGTTTAGGTTCTAAAAAACGGTACCCGAGTTCTCCTTGCCGGTGCCCCCTTGGGCTTTCCAGACCCTTAGTCCTAAACCCATCACAGGCTTGTGTGGACTAAGTTAAACTCGAGAGGACACATTCCCTTATGCCCGCATGGTGAATAAATTCACACGAAGACATAAGGTATATGAATCCCGAAGGTTACTTGCTAGGCCCGCACGGAGAATAAATTCTCACGAAGGCGTCGCTTTCACCCCCACTTAAATAGGGTTCGGAGCTCAGGTATAGAGCATGAGATGACAATTTTGAAAAATATGAAAACATTAAAAAACGTTAGTACAACTATTTATTTGAAAAAAATTCAAAGATAAATAATTGGAATCGAATAAATAAATTAAAATTAAAATTTACCATTTTCGCATAAAAAGACAACCGAAAATTAATTCTGGCCTGACTCACTTATTGTCCCTAGCGGAGTCGCCAAGCTGTCGCAACCGTCTTTCGGGTGGGCCCAGAATTTGGCTTCGACTTGGAATAAAATATTGGAGTCACCACCGATCATTTATTTTTCGTAAAAAATTTGGTTGATCGGATACCATCTTACCTGATCTGCGTTTTACCAGAAATATGTCGGATTCGGGAGTCGGTTACAGTCAAGGAAGGATTAGCACCCTTGAACTGCCCTTTCGGTACCATTTAATTTATCGGTTGTCTTAATTGCGAAAACTACAATTTAAATTAAAATTTAGAGATTCGATTCAAATTACTTACCTTTAATTGATTAAAATTATCCTAAAAAATCATAAATAAAGTAAGAAAATAAAACAAACAAACACAAAGAGTTAGTATTAAGATTGAAATAAAATAAATAAATAAAAGGAATGAAAAAAAATCAAATTAAAAATTAAATTGGAAACAATCAAAATTTATGGGTCGAATTAATCTTAAGAACGAGCTGCAAGAAAAACAAAAAACTTAAGGGATTAAATAGCAAAAATAAAAAAATAAAGTACTAAAATAACACAAACGAAAAATTAAAGGATTAAAGTAGAAGGATCTAATAAATATATATGAACAAATAAGAGCCTCAACAATTAATTTAAAATGAATAGAAGGACCCAAAACCTAATTATGTTAACTAAAAATGCAAGAAAACATAAGATAGTTACTAAATAAAAATAAGCAAGGATCTAAATTCAAAAAATTAAAACAACAGTGACTAAATTAAAAGTTAATAGTAACTAAAATAAAGGAAATGAAAGTTACAGGCATAAATCATCACAAAATATAACATATTGGTGATCGAATTGAAAATAACGAAAATAAAGCGCCAAAAATAAAATAAAATAAAAACATAGAGCTTTGGTGACTAGAATGTAAAAATAAGGTAATATTAGAGGGACCTAAACGTGATTAGACTCAAGGATTTGGTGGCTGATTTTTAAAAAATGTGATAATGGAGTGGCTTAAACATAAATAGTCTAAAAGTTTAAGAGACCAACATAAAAGATGGCAAGAAATTAAAGGGCCCTATGTGAGGTTAACCCAAAATTAAAATGAAAGCATTTTTTCCTTTCCCCAATTCCAAAACTCGTGAACCACTTTCCCTTCCCCTTTATATCTCATTATATGCGTGAAACCTAACACCCTTTTACTCTTATTCTTTTCTCTTCTCAACTCAAACCAGAGAAGAAATAATCCAAACAACCCCTAAGTCAACATACAAGCTTCAACCGACCATAGAAGTTGGCCCTTCGACTTCTAGTGACGTCCGAGTACAACGCCACCCCGATAAACGCCACGGCAACAAGGTAATTATAAATCCCTTCGGATTTTTGCTTTCGATTTTGGATTTGGGTTGCTCAAAATATGTTTCAACTGTTGTATTTTTATTAATGAAAATCTATAAAAAAAAAACTGAGATGAACTCCCCTTACAATTATTTCTCTTCGTTTCTGTTCCCCCTCCCCTTTTTCTTACATTTTCATTCGGGTTTTATAACCCCTATTTTACATAACTTTTTCATAAAATAATACAACTTGTGATGTGATCATAATTTGGATTGGATTTCACATGCATCTTTATCTTTGTGAGTTGACAATGGTAGGAAACATGTGCTCTGGGGCAGTTTGGTGTAATGCTGGGATGATGACAAAATCTAGGGTATGCAATATGGAATTCATTGAAAACAATAACTTGGGTAAAGGTTACATTATTCCACATAAGTGGCTCAATGCAGGATAACCCACTTATATAGCCCAATACAGAGAATTAAGGCCTAACTGACTTGTAACTAAGATAATCTGGTTAGATACACTAGAATATTCCAATACACTTCAAGTTCCTATTAGAATACTCTAATATACTCTAATACTCTCCTGGTTCTTTCTTGTCCCAACAAGTGCAAACCTCTTCAGGGGACTTAACTCCAAGTTGAGATCGAAGAAAAAGAAAAGCACGAGTCACTGGTTTAGTTAAAATATCAGCAACCTGCTCATTACGGGAAACATAGTTGACCACAAGCTGCCCAGCAGTCACACGTTCTCGAAAAAATGCATGTCGATCTCAACGTGCTTTACCTTGGCATGGTGGATGGGATTCGCAACCAAGGAGGCTATTGAGGTGTTACCACACCAAGCTACTAGCTTGCCCCTTCAACAATTGTTCTACCCATATTAACTCTGAAACAATATTTGCAAGACTCGTATACTCAGCCCCACATGTGGACCATGACACAACACTTTGCTTTTTCGAACTCCAAGCAATCGGGTTGCCATCAAGGTAAATGCAATACCCTGTTGTGGATCGTCTATCTTCAATCAAAGTTGCCCAGTCAGCATGAGTAACAAACCAGAGAGAATGATTCATTGGCAGCAAAATATAAACCATGACTTAAGGTTCCTTTAAGATACCTTAAGATTCACTTGACAGCAGTCCAGTGTGTAGAACAGGGAACATTTATGTACCGACTTACTTTGTTTACTGCATATGATATATCTGGACGAGTGAAGTAGATATATTGAAGTCTTCCAACAACACTCATGTACAGGTGAATATCAGCCAAAGGAACACCATCATTAGTAGTAAGTTTAGAAGAAATAATCATAGGTATCATAGTAGGAACAGACTCCAGCATACTTGTTATAGTCGGAAACTCTTAGATATACTTCTTTTGACTGAGGAGTCACTTCAGGATATTGTTTTATCTCCATCCCAAGAAAAAAAACTAACTTGTCTCAAATCTTTAAGGGAAAACTCAACATTTATCTGTTGAACACGCTGAACTTCAGCAGTCATTCCCTGTGATCACTATATCATCAACAATGTTGATGAAGTGGATGATTTGATAAACAGAGATGTATCAGCCTTAGAAGATTTAAAGCCCAATTTATTAACCAAGTAGGACTTAAGGGTGTCAAACCAGGCCCTTGGCGCTTGTCGAAACCCATACAATGCCTTCTTAAGATGACATACAAGTAATTCCCCATGTGACCCCTTCTTCTCACAACCAGGAGGTTGAGTCATGTAGATGTCTTCAGCCAGCTCCCCATTTAAAAATACATTATTTATGTCAATCTGTCTAATCACCCACTTTTTATGACCGTTGTAACTAAAACAATCCTGATTGTACTTGATCTCACCACGGAACTGAATGTTTTTTTTTAAATCACACCCTGTTGTCTGAGAGAAACCCTTGGCTACTAATCGAGTCTTGAGCCTTTCTACAAATCCATTTGACTTTTTCTTCACTCTGAAAAGCCACTTACAACATACAACCTTCCTCGAGGCAGGCATAACTTGTAATTCCCAGGTACCATTTTTTATCAAGGCATCATAGTCGGCTTGAACAGCTACTCTCCAGTCTGGATCTTGTAGACCAGCATACACATCAGAAGGCTCTTGACATTCACTGTTAGCAAGAAAAATCTTTGGCTTATAAATCCAGATTTTCCACGAGTAACCACATGATTGATTGTCATGAACAAGAACAGATGGGGATGTAAAAGTGTTAGACGGTGATAGTGATGTGGATGAAGCTGAATGTGATGGAGATGAAAGAGTGAGAGATAGAGGTGATGATGTGGAACGTGGTTGAGATGGAGATAGATGAGTGACAGATGATGATGGTGATGTGGAAGGAGATGAATACAACTGTGATTGAGGAATGAATGATGGGGTTGGTAATGAAGTAGTTGAAACCATGTGAAATGGAAGAGATGAAGTGCGAGGAGATGGAATGGATTAAAATGACAAAGGTGTGTGATGGGAAGAAGCAGGTGTAGTAGACATTGGAATATGATGAGATGACACATGAGGTGATGATAATGGAACAATATGATTAGAAGCTGAAGGAATTTACACCGGACTGAAAACAGATGACTTAACATAGACAGTATATTTAGCGACTGTTTTTTGTTACAGTGAATACATTTTGACTTTGATTGCATCTTTTCACCTGAAAACTCAGTTTATGACATATAGGGAAAAACCTTCTCATCAAATTTGACATGTCTTGACACATAGACACTTTCTGTGGGACTTAAGCACTTATAACCTCTATGACCATGTGAATAACCTAAGAAAACCACACTGAGCAGACCTGAACTGAAGCTTATTTTTATTGAAAGGTCCTAGAAAAGGAAAAGCAGCTCATCCAAAAACTTCCATAACGGTATAGTCATGGCAAACTTTATACAACTTTTCATAAGGTGACAAACCAGACAAAGCCTTTGAAATAAGCCTATTAATGAGAAAAATAACACTAGTAAAAGAATCACACCAGAAATTAAGAGGTATGGATGCCAGAGCTAACAAGGTAGAACCAACCTCAACTATCTGTCTATGTTTTCTTTCAACTACACCATTTTGTTCAGAAGTGTGAGGACAAATATCCTTGTAAACTATACCATTGATTTGCAAAAAGGAAGCAAGGCCCACAAATTCACCACCTGGATCTGTCTGAATGGCTTTAAGTTGGCAGCCAAGTTGCCTTTCTACAAAAGCATGAAACTAAACAAAATAAAAAAATACATCAGATTTTTGTTTAGAAGTACACCCAAGAATACCTTGAAAAAGCATCTTTAAAGACAACATAATACTTGAACTGATTAGAAGCAATTGGTGTTGGACCCGACACATCAACAAAGACTAATTCTAAAGGCGTATAATAAACAGTACAAGAGTTAGAAAAGGGTAGCTTGTGTGACTTACCAAAATGACATGTTGAACAGATATATCATTGTTTATTTTTATTAAATGAAATATTACAAGAGTTCAAGACTTTGATCAGAGTCTCTTGGACAGGGTGCCCAAGCTTCTAATGCCATATATCTAAGGACTCAACATTAGCAGAAAACCACATTCTGGCTTAGCAAGATTATCAACAGCTGAACTAAAACTATTATTTCTAAGACTATAACATGCATTATGACACACTAAAAACCTATTATCGGTTATCTTCATACAACTTGTAGATAAAGCATATAATCATTCCTTCTTATTGCCTTGCAATAGTAGTTTTTGTGTGTGCAAATCTCTCACTTGACAGTGACTATGATAAAACTCAAGGCACATTTGATTGTCCTGGATGAACTTTCAAACAGAGAGGAGATTCTTAGTAATTTTGGGCACATAAAATAAATGTTTAAGACTTAAAACTTTGTTATTGACTCCAAGTAAAGAAGATTGTCCAACACCACAAATAGAAATAACATTACCATTTCTAACAACCTTACCAGTGTCAGGATAAGCATCACCAACATTTAAATTTGCAAGATCATTGGTCAGATGATGACTGGCCCCAGAATCTGGGTACCAGGTATTATCTCCAACAACCTCAGGTGTAGCCAGCAAAGTTTGAGGATAATTTGAGACAAGAGGTTGCTGAGTACTTTGAGTAAACACTTGAGGAACCTACTGATGAAAATAGGCAGAAGATGTGCCAACAATTATAGAATTAGGTGCCATAATCTGAGAATGAGAAAAAAAAGAAGTTATCAGAGTAGGAGCAACAAAAGGAATGTAATAGACATGTCGTGGGTTGTAGGTGCACATATTAACTTGTTTATAATAATTGCCTTGAGTATTGGAGTATCCTCTGTTGGAGGAATTAGAATTATTTCTAGATGACTCATTCTTATAGCTGATATTAAATCGAAAGTAACACATCAATTAAATGCCCAATTCTTCCACACAGTTGACACTGAGGTCTACCAGATGAGTACCTACCACTTTGACCCCTACCCTTACTTGAACCAAAGTTATTAGCATATGAGGTTGAATCAGAATACTTACCATAGGAAGAACTGTTGAAATTGCCATTTTGCTTAGTATAGTCACTCTGGGTAGTGTAAACCTCAGATTGAGACTGTCCAATCGGATTCAAGGTACCATCATGTCCACCTGCTGGCTGTTGAATGGCCATGTGAGCAGCAACACTCAGATGACTAAAAGATGAGCATCCACATCAAGTAATAATGTATGAATAATTTTAACATCAGCAGGGGTAGGACTAGCAGTTATGATTGTCATAACAGACTCAAATTCAAAAGATAAGTCATTCAGTGTGACATGTTCATGATCAGAGATAATCTCTCCACAACTAGCCAAATTATCACAAATTGACTTAATCTTCATGAAAACATCTTTCATACTCAGATCACCTTTCTTCTGAGAGTACAATAACCTCCTATAGGACATCAATCTAAAAGTTTTATTTCTGTTGTACAATCTGTGAAGAGTACTACATATCTCATCAGATGTGTTATGACCAATTAAATGAGGCAGAATACTCTTACTCATAGTAGACAACAACCAAGATGCTAAAGCCCTATCCTGTTCTTCATACATTTCAAACTTGAGAATTATACTAGTGACCTCATCTTGAGTGATATATTGTTCAAGCCAAGTGATCATACCAACTATAAACTTTTGAAGTTTATTTGTCTTAATAGTTAATAACACATGTTGATGCCAAAGGAAGTAATTGTGATCATATAATGTGACATTAATCTTTTTAGTCGAGAACAACACCCTTCCAGTATTATTATGTTGAGTGTTCTGATTGTTATTCTGAAGATTACTATTATTTTTATTCTCCTCTTTTGAGGTCACCATTTTTATCAGCTCTAGAGAAAAATTAAACACGAACAAGAGCAATACAGACAAATAGAAGACGAAAGGTCACAAGAATCTTAAGAACAGAATTAAAAAAGAAACATGAGAAGAATTAAAGTAGATTTACATAGAGCACATGATAAATCCACACAACACATCAGTTCGAAGAAACATGCAGACAGAAACACATGCAAACAACAGTGAAGAAATTTCTTACAAGAACAACAAACCAGATAAACTCACGATTGAAAGCAGATAGATTAATAGGCTCCAGAAGAACCGAAATTAATGAAAGAAATCACTTACAAATGATAACGCACAGATCAAT